ACAGCCTACTATAATAGAAATTAAAAGTTTAATTCTCTCCCTTCCCTCAAAGTATGAGGGACTGGGTTTGCAAAGGTAAATGAGACATGGAAATTTCCTACCCTCAAGAAGTCCAACAATTTAATAGGCAAGAGAGGTGTAAATTATACTATCATTACATCAGTGCCATAATTGAGGTAGGAAAAGGTATTCTGGGAACAGAAAGGGCTCCAGACTCTGCCTGAAAGAGTCAGGAATAGTTTCATAATCAGCTCTATACAACCATATTCATATTTACCTTTACCTTAGGCCTACCTTTTTTTCATTATTTTTCTTCCCTCACCAAACTTTTTCCCTTATTCAACCCTTTGTTAACTGCAAATCAATCCAAACTTCAAGGATCAGTACAAATTCTGACTTTTCCAAGATGCCTTTTCATCCCTCTTTTCTAAACTACAGCATTCTTAGTACTTCAGTTTATATATTTTTGTTTCAGGCACATTAAGTTTTCCTCCATGCCTACACAGCAATTCCCTTGAATACTTGGCAGATTCTTAAAATCTCAATGATCCACTGTATAGTGTTACTCAACTTAAATTTCAGGATATAATAAAATTGTGATTGAAGATAATCCTACGTTCTAGGTCCAGCATTATTATAGACAATCTCAGATCTCCAAATGTATTTATAGGCTAATTCAAAATTCTATCATTGTCACAAATTATGCATTGCCAAGCTCATCAGTGTTAGTGGATTAGTTCCAATATGCTTCTGATAATTTGGGTTTTAATATGAAGTCTATCCATTGAAGAGATCAAAAATGAATAAGCATTCTAACATAACTTAAACATCTTACAATTCCCCCTAACCAAGTCTGAGAATACTTCTTCCAACAACTGAATCAATTCAGGTGTGACTACCTGCTCTAACAGTAAGAGGCAGTCCAGAGCTTCTGACAGTATCTGCCCTAGCACTCTCACCCTTTTTTAAAGTTATTTTAAAAACTCTCTTTAAAAATTATTTTAAAGAACCTTTTTATTAATGTTTATTTTTTCAGAGAGAGTGAGAGTGAGGAAGAGACACAGAATCTGAAGCAGGCTCCAGGCTCTGAGCTGTCAGCATAGCAGTGCCCGACACAGGGCTTGAATCCATGAACCATGAGTTCATTACCTGAGCTGACGTCAGATACTTAACCGACTGAGCCACCCAGGCACCACCTAACACTCCTATCCTTAAGTTCTGTTCCTGTAAAATATACACACAGTCTAACAGGCTTCAACCTCTTAATGTCTTAGAGGAAAAAGTAGTATATGAACTAGCAACTGGTTGATAAAAGGAATAGATTTCAAATTTAAAATTATATTTTAAGCTTCATTTAGTTCTAGAACCATTAACAATTTTGTGTACAACTATTAGCAGACCCTCTGTTTATCATACTTCATTTTTCCCTCTTAAGGTTTATCCTAGCACTGTGGATGATTAAAATTGGTATTTGTATTACAGAAAAAAATTAAAATGTTAAAATAACTACTTAGAGGACACCCAGGTGACTCAGTCAGTTGAGTGTCTAACTCTTGATATCAGCTCAATTTGTGATCCCAAGGCCATGGGATTTAGCCACATGTTTGGGTCCGCACTGATCGTGGAGCCTGCTTAAGATTCTCTCTCTCTCTCTCTCTCTCTCTGCCCTTCTTCCCTAGCTCATGATTTCTCTAAAAATATACAATTAAAAAATACAATGCAATACATAACAACAGAGAAAATTTTCAAGTTTACCTGAAAAATTTCAGAAGCAGATATGAAATAAAGAGCCAATAAAAGTATAGTTGGTACTTCTGAAATAAAGGGAAAGGAAATTCAAGGACAATCAGAAAAATTATCTGAAGCAAATTTGATACTGCAAACCCAAGTGGGTCCTCCTTTCTTTTTTTTAATTTTTAAAAATGTTTTTATTTATTTCTGAGAGAGAGAGACAGCGCAAGCAGGGGAAGGGCAGAGAGAGAGGGAGACACAGAATCTAAAGCAGGCTCCAGGAAAAACGGACACATAATTACCAATCTCAAGACAGAAAGTAGGGGAAACAAATGATAGTTGCTAACAGGGGAAGGAGGGGGAAAGGGAGGAGTAAGGGGGGGAAGTAAGGGAACAGGAGGGTCAGGGGGGGAAGAAGAAAAGGCAGCAGTGGTAGTTTAAAGAGAAATGATAGAGAATTAGCTTGGCTTCAGACTTTTCCACAACAGTCAAAGCCAGAAAACAGGTTGTATATGACTATACAGTTGTAAAGAGGAAAAACATAAACTGAAAATTTTATACCCAATTTGTTTAGACAACAGTTGTTCTTATGTATCCAAGATCTTAAAGAACACAGCAATCATGAACTGTTCTTTAATAAAAATTGCTCTGAAATCTATCCAACTAAGAAATGAATCAAAATAGCCAAAGTACAGGAAAGTACAAAGAGTGATGGTAGGCACTGAATCAACTTAAATATATAACTAAGAGAGTCTTTGGGAATTCAGATTATTGAGAATGTAAATGGCACAAAGTGTAACAATATAAAACATTTTTTTTAAACAAACAAGTTGGGGGCAAGACTGGTGGAAAAGCCAAAGTGTACATTTATGTTCATCTTTCATGTATGGAAAGCAAATGCTGCTGTCTGAAGTTAGAACATAATTTTTTTTTAATGTTTTATTTATTTCTAGGAGAGAGAGAGAGAGAGAGAGAGAGTGAGCAGGGGAGGGTCAGAGAGAGAGGGAGACACAGACTCTGAAAAAGGCTCCAGGCTCAGAGCTGGCAGTCAGCACAGAGCCCGACACGGGGCTCGAACCCATGAACCGCGAGATCATGACCTAAGTGAAAGTCGGACACTTAACCGACTAAGCCACCCAGGCGCCCCAAGAACATAATTTTTTAAAGTGATGATAAAATTCAAGGTTTTAAATAATCTTTCTTATTAACTTCAGAGAGGGACTTTTAGAAATGAATCTCTCCTGTGATAGAGAAGTATGTTGTTTCAGCAATCCCTTTAGTTTCACTTTAGTACCCCCTCCCTTCAATTAAGAATAATAAATTAAATATTTTTACTAAAAAATAACAATATAATTTATCTAAAATATATCTAAGTATATGCCTAAATGGATGTCTGGAATGATGAATACAAATTGTTAGCAATTGATTTTTTATTTTTATTTATTTTTTTATGTTTTATTTATTCTGAGAGAGAAAGAGAGACAGATTGAGCAGGGGAGGGTCAGAGAGAGAGGGAGATACAGAATCTGAAAGAGGCTCCAGGCTCTGAACTGGCTGTCAGCACAGAGCCTGACGTGGGGCTCGAACCCACCAACTGTGAGATCATGACCTGGGCCGAAGCCGGACGCTTAACAGACTGAGCCACCCAGGCACCCCGGATTACCCCCCCTTTTATACTTTTAATGTATACAATGTAAATTAAAGTCATTTAATTTACATTGTATACATTAAATGTTAACGAACATGTATCACTTTTTTCAAAATCAGCCATTACTCTTAAAAAAAAAAAACAAAACAAACTTTCTAACACTTCACGGTTCTCTCTTTCTACCTTTGGAGGTAGCTCATTGTCAACATCTTATTAGCTAACCTTTATGTCTGCTCTATTTAAATGCAGGATTTGCTCTAATTTCTCTTTGTATTCCTCAAAGGAAATGTAGTATAACGAGAGTTAAAATCACCTTCAATAACTCTCTTCTTTTGAACCCTTATTCCTCACTCAGTGTCACGCTAAAACCAAAATCTACACTTTGATTTAACCTACACAAAACAGAGGCAAGTATCTTCCCTTTTTAAGATAAAGTAAAATAATCTGCCTAAAAGATATCATAGCTGATAGGTGGCAAGTAGATTAAAAGACCATAAAGATCAAATTTTTAATCATTAAATTTTTTTTTAGCACTAATTCTAAAGACAGGCCTCAGTTCAAATCCAGATTATGTTATTAGCAGTGTGACCCTAGATAAGAGACAACTTGTCATCTTTCTTTCTTCCATCTTCAAAATGGGCAAATTATCATCCTATCTCATTATACTGCTAAAAATACATAATAAAGCTCTTAGTCCTCCATTTGACAAATAGAAAGTACTCTATTTGATAAGTTAAAAGTTCTTGAAACACTAAGAAAATCAAGAATATATCACAAAAGCAACTAAATAAAATGTATAAATACCAAAGAGATTTAAGTTATACAGCACTGAATCTTAGTGTAAAGGGTTTTCATGTTTCCTTGAGTCTGTTTACAAAACATTCCATTATTTAAGTGTTGTGACGTATAAATTAGAGCTTGAAGAATCATAAAAGTTTAGTAAAACATGACATAAAATAAAAATTGGACCAACCAGAATAGATCAAATTCCTGAGCGTGAAGGTTACTACTTGGTTCCATTTAAAGTTGCCTTAGGCAAATTTGCTCTCTTGGGGGCTAAATCATCATTTAAAACCATCACCTTAAAAGTAGAACCATGAGAAAAATGTTAGGCCATTTTCTTCTGAAAACTGGTTTAACTTTTGATTCTACTCTCAAGTCCTAAGTATGTCAAATAAACTTTTCCAAGGCTTCTATGTTCCTTGAAAAGTGACATTTTTTATCTAACAAGGAAGACACAGAAAATGGGTTAAAAGCTGAAATAAAAGTATATCTAAATATCTGTAATAATTAAAGAACATAGGAAAATAAATTTAATTCATTTTTAAAAGAATCAATGTCAGTAATTTTAAAAGCCACTTTACAAACCACCATTTTGAACTCTGAACTGCTAATGTGCCCATAATATCCAAGACAGAATTGCTTTATTTTGACTCTAAATTTTAGCATAATGACATTTTCCGGTCTCAGCAGTAATGTTATATTACATTCAGTAAATAACTGGGTTAAAAAAATAATGGAGCGTCAATGATCACTGAATAAATCAGTGATACCTAAGAAAGAAAGCTTTTGAAAACCCCAACAATAATCTGCACCAAAAGGCATACTTGAACATGCATACCTCAGGTCATCACTTGGTTCTTCTTTTTCTGGAAGGTCCGTGTGCTTGGAGTCAGTTGATTGGTGTTCTTCAGCAACCTTGGGCTCCTGGTTTATCATAGGGACCTCTGAAGTAAATGAGAGCTCCCCTTCATTGGAGACCCCAAAGAGATCTGGGTCATCTTGAATGACATCAATTAAAAGGACATCATCTTCATATGCTTTAAGAATATCTGGAAACTCCATTTTAATTTCTGAAAAGTTCTTAGTCATTTCTTTATCACTAACTTCAGAGAAAACTGGTTTGAATGTTTCTTGTTTATTAGAGAAGGCACAAATTTTCTCTATACACCCAAGATCACAAGAAAAAGTATTTCTTTCAACTGTGAGAGAAACAGCTTCCTTGTTCGAAATAATATTGTTTGGTTCAGAGATGTAGTTAGATGGTTTATTATCATTACCTTTCTTTAAAAAGCTTGTGGAAATACTACAGGAATTCTTGCAGATGAAAGAGTCAGAATTAGCTTGCACTGGAGTTACACTATTTTGTATACTCAAAGATTGAGGTCCATATGTTACTATGGAGACATTTTCTTTACTCTTATTTTGTCTTACCTCTGATCCAGATAAATTGTCAAGAAGCTCTAGGGGACTATACACATCTCTCTCTGATGACCTGGCATTTATTTCTTTTCTTTTTTCTCCTTTATTCTTAAGTAATGGAATTTTAAAATTAGTCAGCCGTCCTGTGTTCAATATTTTAACCAAGTCTGGAACCAGAAGTGTTTGCTTCTCAATGCATGCTTTTCGATTAATCATTTTGCCTGTAGAGTTATTTGCTTCCTGGTCATCCGGTGAAGTCACTGTCAAATTAAGTTTTGTTAAATTCCCTCTATCTTTTTTTTTACTTCCTGTTAAGTTTTGAGTCACGTGAGTTGGCTGAGTATCATTAGCAGTATTAGAAACTACCTCTGGCCCACTTTTGCTCTGTTCCTTTGACTTCATCTTTTTATCATCACTGAATACAGGTTCCTTTATAATCGTTAAAGTAGGTTCTACTGCAGAAACTGAAGACAAACAATTTAAATTAGAATTCAATTTTTCTTTGCTTGAAGATTCACCATTTGTTTCTGTTATGGTACTCTGTAATGATATTTTAGAATCAATTAAGGGAGTTTGATTTGTTTGGTGCTTAAGAAAATCATCTTGCCTAAAACTCTGCCGAGGCCCAGGAAGAAAGTTATTTGAATCCGGCAAGGAAGATTTTTTCCAACACTGGGCAGATATTCTAGCACATGAATAACAAGGCCAAGTTCTTTTACCAGTCATCGGTATTGTTCTGTGACAGCCTAAGTTCGATTCTTCAGCTTCAGTTCTCCAGTCTTCCCGCGAAGATCTCTTTTCAGTAAGATGGCAATCACTAGATAATTTCACTACTGAGCTTTGCATCGACTTAAAATACTCCTCTGGCTCCATGCCTCTAAATCCTAAGGGCTCTGAAACGTTCTTTGTTTCTTCTTCCAAAAGTGGCTCAAGGGTTTTCTGAAACATAGCATTTTGATGTTCAGGACTTGTTTTTTTTCCTATTTCTGGAAGACTTAATAAATGATCCATTGGTGAGAGTGTATTATGGTTTACTTTCCTCAAAACTTTTAAAGGACTTTTTTTAGCCTCTAAAGTCTCTGCTCCTTTACCCTCAGCACCTGTTTGGTTTTCTTGTAACACTGAGTCAGATTTGTTATACACATTACAGAAGTTCATCTCAATAACTGTTTCATCTTCTTTTTCAGACACTTTCATCCTTTTCCTGGGTTTTCTCCCAATATGGCTCTCCCCTACTGAGTATTTATTTTTTTCATTTTGAAGGCAGGAAAGCAAGCCATTAGTTTTACTTTGGTGTAAATCAGCTTCTTCAAGTAATAACTTATTTACTCCCAATAAGTTTTCTTCCGTTTGTAAGAGCTGAGGAATATTATTTGTGTCACTCTTATCTGCAAGACTCCTAAGGTTTTCTTTCTTTAACTTGGAGGAATTTTCTGGAACTTGCATACATCCACCATCAGGTTTATATGCAAAGTTATTTTCATCATTACAACCCTTGGAATGGGGGAAACAATTGCAATCATGTAATTTTAAAATGGAATTATTTTCTACTCCAGGCGACAAGCTGTTACAAGAATATTTTGGAGTATTCTTGTACAGTTCATCTTGGAATTCAACCTTAATATTTCGTGTGGCCTTATTTTCAGTTATTTTGAGAGGTGGGCTCTCTAAGCTTTTATGTTTTTTAATTTGAATTCTTCTTTTAATACCTTCTATGAAACTCTCCTTACCCAAAGACTGCAAGAAAGCCATACTTTGGAATTCACTGCACTCCACTGTTTGGAAAGATTCCGAACTGGTTAATGATTCCTTTCTTACCAGGTCAATCCCTGGCTGTGGATCATCACTTGAGGCGTCAGTAACTTTTCTTTTTTCCTTGGCTGATCAAAACAACAAAACATACCAGAAAAGATTTTTATATTGAGGAGGAAAAAAGGAATACCACTTAAAATAAAAAACTGTGAAGCCATCCACATTTATTTCCCTGAATAGCTGTATGGGAATATACATCTGGTTTCAAATGAAAAACCTAATTTCTGCTAAGGAACGCCATACAAACCTGTATAAACTCCAAGGCAGCCGAATAACTGCTAGCATCAACACCAACCACTTCACACTAGCCAAAACGGACCGCTAGGAGGAATTGCTCTTAAAGTAATTCTGACCAAGGGCTCCCGGTCAAACACATGCATCCGTAAGGCTCAATGCAAATTCAAGTTAAACACTAGAGGGAAACAACGATGGGTCAAGGCTGAGATGCAAACGCTAGAACGGGAGTCACCTCGGAGGGCTTTCTTACTGCGTCTTCCCGACTGCTCCGCTTCTTTCGCTGCTTCTAAGCCCTGAGCGTCTGACGGTGTGAAGGGCACCCTCCGACCCCGACCCCCCTCCCCGAGCCCCCCTCTCGCCGCCTCACCGCGGCCCTCCCAGTCCCAGACGCCTCACCCGACTTGTCACTTTCCACCTCTTCTCTCCCAGGCGCTCGGGCCACCATTCTCCTCTTTTGCCTGCTCTCCTCGCGTCCCCTGGCCTCGGCGCCACAGCTTCCCGCTTCGCTGGGCCCAGGCCGCCGGCCTCGCTTCCTCAGGCCTGGGGCCTCGTCTTCACGGCCGGGGGCCGTCGCGGGGTCCGAGGGCAGCGGCCGCCGCATCCGCCCCGGGCGGCCTGCCCCGTCCGCGGACAAGGCCAGCCGAGGCTTGCCGCACCCACCCACAGGGGACCACCAGCCGTGCGAAGCCGCTCCTGCCGCGCTGTTCCTACCGCCTGCCCGTCAGCCCAGCTCCGCGCCGCCTCCAGTCTGGCTCCGGGGCGAGGGCGGAAGCGGAAGTGAGGCCCCGCGCTGTCCTCTGGGCGGGCCGGGCGGAGCCTAACTGGCGGAAGTGCCCCGAGCCTGTGCCGCCTGCGCGTGCAGGCCACACTGCTTGGGGGTGTGGCACGTGTCGCCTTTCTAGGCCGGAACCTCCGGCAACCATCGGAGGCCCCTTCTCTCACCTGCCGCCCCTCTTGCGTAGCCGCTAGCAAAGACGACCGTCAGCCGGCGGCGTCTAACCACCCCAAGTGTTCTGGGGTCCTTTCCCCTCAGCCTTCTCAATATATTGACCCACGTACCCTATAGACAGCTCAAGCTCCAGATATGCAAAACTGAGCTTAATCTTTCCACGACAAGCTTATTTATTCCTCCTGTGTTGGTGGATATGCCACTATCCAGCCATTTGTGTAAGCTGAGAATCTAGACACAGAGACCCCCCCCCCCCCTTCTTTCCATTTCATCCGCCACGGCCACATTCATTACATCTGCTTGATTCTATTTTCTGTGTTTGTCAGCCACTCTCCTCTTTGCCATCACTTTAGCCCTGGCTCTCAGAATTTGACTGACCTACTGCACGAGTCTCCTAAATTGTATTCATACTTCCGTCCTTGTATAACTAAACCAGCCTTGAGTTTGCTCCTTGGTGAGCCAGAAACTGCACCAGGTTGAGTTGTCACAAAGAAAAGTTCATTTGCAACCAATAAGGAGATAATGGGAGTGGCTTCCAAAGCCATGGCCCCAAGAACAGGGATGAATGGGTTCCTTTCATTTAGAGTTGATGCGTATTTAGATAGGGAAGCCTTGTCATCATATGTAGGGTGGGTATAAGTTGTCCATGTGCTTTAAGGAAACATGACTACATATATGTTGTTTGTTATGTAAATGAGGCTGGGGATCCTTCTTGGGTGGCGATTTTATTTACTTACTTAATGTTTATTTATTATTTTTGAGAGAGAGAGAGGGAGAGAGACAGGATACAACCAGGGGAGGGGCAGAGAGGGACACACACAGAATCGGAAGCAGGCTCCAGGCTCTGAACTGTAAGCGCAGAGCCATACATAGGGCTTGAACTTATGAACCACAAGATCATCGCCTGAGCTGAAGTTGGATGCTTAACTGACTGAGCCAGCCAAGGGCCCCTCTTGGGTGGAGATTTTAGTATTATGATGGGTTTTGGTAATCATCAGTCATTCTAGAGGTCACTCCACGGTCCATCTGCACAAGCATGAGTCAGGCGTTAGGTTCAAATCGGTCTGGGTGGCCTGGGCTGGCTGGAGGTCTTATCAGGACAGTCGCTATGGCTTAAGGGAGATTTTACTTCCCATTTGCCCGAGTTAAGAGGTGAGCTGGAGAAAAGAGCTTAAGGAAAAATGTGGAACAAAGGTCAGTGAATACAAGCAGGTGTACAGTAAACATACACCTTGGTGTCTTGGTGTCTAGCTGGTGACACTTGTAGTATTTCAGTGAAGCTTCCACCTGCTACCAGGCCTTGTCCTGCCCCTCCCATGTCGGAGATCCTGGCATTTCCCAGATTTGCCCTTCATGAACCTCCTTTACTTAGAGACTAAAACTAGCAGAAAGAATTCCAAACCTTTTATGGTTCTCTTTCATCTCTATGAGAGTCATGATTTTATCTTTTTGGGGGGAAACTGTCTTTTAACACCACACATTTCCTGCTCTTTACATGCTATGTCATGCCTATGAGTCTTTGCATGCTAGTCCTGGAAATTCTTTTTTTGCTTTTCTGCCTGGTGAACTACATATTCCCCTTCAAGATTTAGTATGAGGATCACCCCTCAAGGAAGCTTCTCTGTTACTCTTCTCCTTACACGTGTGTGTGTGTGTGTGTGTGTGTGTGTGGTGGGGACAAGGAGCATCAGGTATACCTGCCTGCCTGCTAATACATTGTTTTCAGCTCTTTCTATCTCTTTCAGGGCAGATACCTTCTGTTAATCTTTGCATTTTGTATGTTTTAAGATAAACTTGGTGATTTTTAACACTATGTGTGTGGACATTAAAGGATGGTAGGTATGATGAACAGAATACTATGGCAGTTTAAAAAGAGTATCCTTAGGAGTGTCTATAAAATCGAACTTAGGTAAGGGAGGTATAAAGGATCTAAAAACTTCACTTGATTCTTTCTGCTTGTGAAAAACCCCAGTAAAAGGGAAACGAGTTTAAAAGAATAACAGAATAGAAAAAGCTATTTTAGGGAATTCAGGCTACATGCTCATTCACATTGTGTCTCAGTTTTCTCACCTGTAGAATGAAATAACAGTGTCTCCTGAAGGAAACCAAATATGTTACCCCCAAATATGACTCTTTGACATAAAAATTATTTGGAGTTGAAGACAATTAGGAAGGAGAAAATACAGGAAAAGCTCTTTCTAACTCCCTCCCCCCTGCCCTTCTGCCTAAAGGCAGAATGTAAATTCTGCTTTAGTGGAGATGACTCTAGACTTTTACCACCATAGAGATGATACTAGAGGAATCTGCAAATAAACCTTACTCTATTAGTTGCTCCCCATATATTGATCTCCTTACAGTTTGCCACCCTAGGAAGCCTAAAACCATTTTCCTTTGACCCGCCACTTCTTTTTTTTTTTTTTTTTTGTAATTTTTTTTTAATATTTTTTTTTTTATTTATTTCTAGGAGAGAGAGAGAGACAGCATGAGCAGGGGAGGGTCAGAGAGAGAGGGAGTCACAGACTCTGAAACAGGCTCCAGGCTCTGAGCTGGCAGTCAGCACAGAGCCCGACGCGGGGCTCGAACCCACGAACCGCGAGATCATGACCTAAGCGAAAGTCGGACGCTTAACCGACTAAGCCACCCAGGCGCCCCGACCCGCCACTTCTAAACAAAGGTATTGTTCTTTGTTGAAGATGATAGCGTCTTATAGGCCAGAGTTCTAAGCCATCACTTTGAGTTACTCTTTGTTGAAGTTTCTCCTGCTTAATGTGCACTGTATGCATTAAACTGTTTTTCTCTTTTTGTGAAAGGGCCCCAGTGGAGGACTAAATATGGGTAGTTTTGTATGCAAATATTTGTAAAGCACTTAGAACAATGCCTAGCAGATTGTAAACATTAGGTTGATTTGTTAAACAAAAACCTCAATATATCAAAAGATAGATCCTATATAATTCTGACATATATTGCCTACAAAATACTTTTTGCTACTAAGATCTTAATAAAATAAAAGATAAAAATTCAAGAGTCCAGCTTCTTTGGTCTGAATAAAAACAGATTATCTTAAAGACAGCTATAGAACCAAGAATTTAAAAACTTTTATAACTCATAATTGTTGAGCAATGCATTAAAAAGGAACAGGAAGAGCTTAGTAGCATAGGAAATTGCAAAGCAAGCAACTGAGTGTTCTGAATAAGAAATTTCTAATCTTTATTACAGATTTCAAATTTCCCATACCAAACTGCTTTCACAGAAAACTTGAGGAGTTTAGGTGTGTTTTTACAAGTTTTCATGGATCTTCTGTTCTCTTCTGTGAAATGATTATCATAATCCTTTCATTGTGCTTGGTAATTTCTGGAAAGGGCAGGCACAGTTGTTTACCAAAAAAGGATTCAATCTCTCTAGTGGCAGATCTCACATACTTAGGAGTTCAGAAGATAGAGGAGAATAATTATTTACCTATACCTATTGGCTTGTATCTCAGTCCGCACAAAATCAACCTGCTGTGAGAGTCAGGGTGTCCTTTCTTTCTAGTTCCCTCTCTTTTTCTATTAATCCCTTCCCCTTGCCTCTGGACCCTGACTGACACTACTGTTCAGCCTTCAAAGTAACTTCAGGGTCACTGCTTCTCTAGTGTCCTTTGTGTGTGCTGGTCCTAGCTCTATCCTGGAAGGATGACAGCAGAGCCACATTCTCTACATTCCACAACTACAGCTATAGATTATTAATGCACAGATTTGTGGGCCCTGTGGAACTACACAGCTCATGTGCCTATGAAGCCAGTCCTACAGATCCATGGTCTACTTCTACAAACATCCAGAAGACTTCCAAACCTCTCTATTGCTAATATTTATCAGCTTTGACAGTATTACTGAAGAGCCAAAAATTAAGTCCTCCATTAAGAGAAACCTTGGGCTGCACGTAGCCCCAGTCCCAGTCCCAGGAAAAGCCTCAGACTGTTCAACGCTAAAGCCATCCTCAGACCGCCCTCAGTTCAGCTAATCAAAAAAAAAAAATAGAAACATTCCTATGGTCTGAGTCAAGGCTGGAAACTGCAGATACAAACTAGCCAATTTCTCACTGCTTGTCTGAACCCCATATGGGCCCTTTAAACTCACCTCACAACTGGTCATTTTCAAAGGATTCTCAAAAGTCATGATTGGGTCCTGAGGGGCCTAGACAAACTAAACCAAAAACTCAACCAGCTTTTCTGCTTCTGTACAAGTGCTTGCACTACGGGAAACTAAAACCTAACTAGCTCCTTCCGCTTCTGTACCATTGCTTAAGGCTTGAGTTTCAGCCTCCCCGGAACTATCAGGCAGCTGCACACTGCCCAAGGCCGAAGAAACTGGCCACCACATCACTCCACCACACTACCCTGGCAACACTCAATCAGGAAAGGCCAGCAGCCACCCTCCGCCTTACTGAAGGAAGGGCCTAGGGAGAGAGAAGTTAACCTGTTAGTCGCCGAACAAGACCCTAGACTTGCTCTATGATTGGCTGAATTCAAAGGTACCCTAAATGTTGTAATTGGATCCCGCCAAAAACCTGATGGTGGGAACCAATCAAATATGGTATATGTTCATATTTAAATATCAACCAATGACAAACCTGTAACCATAGAGATCCCCTGTCCCTCCCCACGACTTGTTTACTCCTGTCTATAAAAAGGCTGCAAAGACTTTGTTCGGGGCCTCTCAGCGTCACCGGCAATGAGTGCGCGGAGGTCCAGGTTCGAACCTGCAAATAAACGACCCTTGCCTATTGGCTTTGACTCTGGTCTCTGGTGGTCTGTTTTTGGGGTCTCTCGAACTCTGGGCGTTTCATTACTTTTACTCTGTGTCATGCCAGTCACCGGCCAGTTTGTACTCAGAGCAATTCCACACCCTTCCTCTGCCCTGTTATGAATCACAGGGTGTTTTCTACACTCCTGGGTCAGTTGGCTTTGGGTAAGATTTGACCAATGGAGGACACTGATAGAAGAATGGAGAAGGGATATTTTCTCTACCTTAGGCTGCCTATCAGACACCAGCTGCATCTTCTTTGAGACTCCATCTCTTGCTGGTCAAGCTTACTGTGGTGCAGCTCCCACTAGGTACCTTGAAGTCCCTTTGCTTCAAGGGGTGGCATTGGCTTTCTGTAATGAATCTCTGGGAATCATGAAACCCTGTTTGGTTTCTCTGTTCATTTAGCCTATCTCTTGCATTACATTCCTCTCTTTAAAATACTTTTAATTTCTTTTTTTTTTTTTTCTGGTAAAAGACACTCCCCACCCGCACACACACACTCCAGTAACTAAGGATGAGGATGGAAGGAGCAAATGGTACAAAAGAAAAGACTTCTGTTCTGACACAGAGTCAGGAGACATTCTTTCACCATCTTAAAATGAATAACGCAAAAATAAATATGGTACTTTCCCAAGATATGATCACCTTTCTTTTTGAAAGTATTTTGAAAATACTATTGAAAGTATTTTGAAAATACTATTGAAAGTATTTTCAATAGTTTCTCCAGGGTTAGCTTCTTATTCAATTTTAGATTGTAAATCTTCTGTCCAGGAATATTAGACAATCTGATGTTCAGCAAATTACAACATATTGGAATCTTTAAATGTATGGGGTATTTTGTTTTTGATGATCCTATTTTACCTCTAGGGAAAAAAAATCGAGGGCCAAATATTTTACTTCAGATATTAAAGTCCAGATTTGGGAATTTCAATTAACTTTACCCACTAGAGGGCTTCAGATCCAGATCAGCCACGGATGAGCCACCTCTCTTTTCCTCTGGCTTATGGAACTCCATGGTCTTTGATCACAAAAGCCTTTGATTGTGTCATTGAGGCAGAATAACTCAATTACTCAATGTAACAAGTCCAAAATGGAACACAGTGGAAATCTGTGAGGGGAACAGGACCTTAGAAACTGTCTAGTCTAAGCTCTTCAATTTACCAATGCTTTAAGTAATTTAAAAGTGCTGTGAATCAATCGTTTCCTAAATGTTTCTTCTGATTGCTTCTTAATTGCCTGCACTTCCAAGTAAGGCTTCTTCAGGAGACAACCACTTCTAGTGTAAGTGAGAGACTGAAGCAAGCACAAATTTATTCTGTGTATATGGCTGTATATGGCTGCACACCAGTTTCAGGAATGACTATGGTGCAGCTGTCCTCACACTAGCATCTCTGTAAGGGATCCTATACTTATGCCTGTAAAATTTTCCATTTGAATTAGGGCCATCATGGGGCGCCTGGGTGGCTTAGTTGACTAAGCGTCCGACTTTCGCTTAGGTCATGATCTCATGGTTCGTGGGTTCGAGCCCCGCGTCGGGCTCTGTGCTGACTGCCAGCTCAGAGCCTGGAGCCTATTTCGGAGTCTGTGTCTCCCTCTCTCTCTGACCCTCCCCTGCTCACACACTCTCTCTCTCTCTCCTAGGAATAAATAAAAATATTTAAAAAAAATGAATTAGGGCCATCATTGCAGTCTGTTATCTTCTTTGTGGAGGAGGGAATCCCCATTTCCCTATAATATGGGATAGCCTCAGATAGAAGGGGCCTATGCCAGTGGTTACTATGTTCAAGTCAAGCTTAGCAATGGGTAGAATGGATGGCTGCTTGTTGCTTAAATGGTTTGATTTGAAGTGTGACAGGAAAAATTTCCTTCTATTTAGTCCCTTTCCAGCTCAAGAGGACATTATGTATGTTTATATATACACCGATGACTTCCAAATTTGTATCTCCAGCACTCTGTCTTGTTTGCAGTCCCTCGCCCCTGCTTCTGATTCAAGTGGCTGGGATAAACAGCTCCTTTCAGGCTTTGATTCACTTAGCAGAGAGCTGTCAGCAAGAATTTTCCATTTCTGCCCCAGGAGTTTCCCTCAATTCCCCAGGGCAGACATCTGGTTTTTTTTTTTTAGGGAATGGGCAACTAGAAAGTGCAATGATGTTAACAGCCCTGGAGAAATTGTCAACCAGCGTGCGGGGAGAGCTGGTAAGTAAGTGCTCCTGCCCCTGACACTTCAGACAAACAATCCTGGAGGCGTTTTGTATATTCTCTTTGGTACTTTTGAAGATTTTAGTTTTCATTGTACATGGCAGCAACCTTGATAACCCAACTTTTTACCGGCCTCCCTTCCTGGTCCCACTCTCCCTTTTCCTATTGCAGGCGTCTGTACCTCCCAAATAAACTACTTACACATAGGCCTTGGGCTCTGTTCAAGCTAAAATCATATCTAGTCTACATTTTAAATTTACATGCCCCCAAAATACCTCTTGATCTTTCAATAGTTTCTTCTCCCAGCTCAGCAAGCAATAACTCCATAATTCCAGGTCAAAAACCTTAGACTCACTGTGGAATCCTCTCTCTCACTGGCCTGCCCTCTCATCCCCATATAATTCGTCAGCAAACTGCTCTACCTGAAAATTAAATCCAAAACCTCACCATGTCTTATTATGTCCATCACTTCTGTCCCCTAGTCAGGCCACCACCTTCCTTTCTTGCTTGACTATTGTAAAAACCTTGTAACTGATTTCCCTATTTCTTTTTTAAAAAATGTTTTATTTATTTCTAAGAGAGAGACACAGTGTGAACAGGGAGGGTCAGAGAGAGAGGGAGACACAGAATCTGAAACAGGCTCCAGGCTCTGAGCTGTCAGCACAGAGCCCGACGCGGGGCTCGAACCCACGAACCGTGAGATCATGACCTGAGCCAAAGCCAGATGCTTAACTGACTGAGCCACCCAGGGGGCCCCTGATTTCCCTATTTCTAATTTTACACACATAATAGTCAAGTTGCTTCATTAAGATCAAGTTGCCTCGGCTCAGAAACCCTCCAAAGGCTACCCATTCCATGTAAAATAAAATCCAAGTCCTGGCCAAGTCTAATCGTGTCCCCAGTATCCTTTTGTCCTAATTTTCTATCACTTTCCTCTTTATGGTGTTCCACCCACTGGTCTTCTCACATGCCACTTCAGCACACTAAGTATGATCTCTCCTTGTGTCTTTTGCATTTGCTGTCCTCTGCCTGGAGTGTTTCTTTCCACCGGAATCCACATGCTCCATTCCCTAATTTCCTTCAGGCTTCTGCTCAAATGTTGCTATAAAGAGAGACCTTCACTGACCATTGTCAGATAAAAAACAAATCTGAACTTCATAAGGAGAGTTGAATAGCTGCTCCCCCTTCAGGTAGGGCAGTGCTCTGCAGTTGGCCGCAGTCTCCACTATTCCCTACTGTCCTCAACCAATTTTGCTTATTTATACTTCCTGTCTGGCCCTGTCAACATTGAAGTTTTACTCTAAAATTACACATTTCAGTTTACAGGATGTTTGCAACACCATCATCTGGCTGCTCAAAAATCATCACACCGTATCCCTTTCATATTATTAATTCCCTACTCTGTTCTCCACATCACCCTCTCCAAACCTTCTCCATCTTCTCAAGCCTTCAGTTCCACACTTGGCTCCACAGGTGAAACTGTCTTCTTTTCTGGGGTGTTCTTAGTCATTCTGAGATTCCAGTTTTCTCTGTATCACTAGATCTCTGTCATTATCCGTTCCCTCTCCTGAAGGAAATAAAGACAAAAGCAAATGAGAAAAGCAAAGTCTACCTGGGTGTCAGCTACCATTACAGACACTCAAAGGCAGGCAGAGCAGTGGAAAAGCTTGTTAGTTAAAAAAAGTGAAAGACTTCAGGCATGCCCTGGTTGGAGGCTATTGGCCTGGGAAAATTACAAGTGGGCTATCAGTGTGATTGGTTAGGGATGCATATTTGGCTTTCTCTGATTTGTCTTAAGTTGGAAACAGGGACAGAAATTAGGGAGGCTGTCAGTTATTAATCAAGTCTTAGCCGCTTTGGGCTGATTGTTACAGAAGTAATTAACTTCCTGGATTGTTACTAGAGATAGCAATCTGACTTCTTACAAGTCTAATTTACAGCTGACTGGCTTCCTGGGCTGTTTACTGTACATAAGGCGATTAATTTCTTGGGCAGGTTGCTGTAGATTGGGGAGTCAGAGTTCCTATTTCTATAGATCTGACCATTGTCACTTTGTATATTTAGTCTCTCATTTTTCTTTCTACTGCTGCACAAAAAGAGCCTTTATTTGTCAAGGCTAACCCTTTCACTGATGATCTCAATATTATATGGCTGTGCTAACCAACCTCTCCCATACCTTTCTTTTTTTTACCCCAGATGTGTCGGGGTTCAATTATTCACACCTTTTCTCCTTACTTCTTTGGAAATTGGTTTCCTTCTCAGATACTCAAATGGTATTTCATTTTCAAATGAGACTATAGGTTTAAAAAAACTGACAACGCAATCATCACAAAGTCCATAAAAGTAGCATAACATCATTATTATGTGTATAATTTCTATATTGTCATATATTATATATGTCTATATTATTATAACTTTTCTCTTAACTTTTTTGGCTACATACTCTTTGATTACCTCTTCACCTGACAATAGTTTTGTAATATTTTTCTGTAGAGAGAATAAACAATCTGGTGTTTCTACCAGGACAGCCAACTGAAATTTGTTCATAAGTGGTGGTTTGGAAATATAAACATGTGTCTTTATACTGCCATACTTTCTGTTACAAAGCAGCACTTTGCTACAGGCTTGTGCCCAGAATACATAGGAATCCTGATAAATTTTACTTCATGTGATTAGCATTTGAGAGGATGGATATACACATAGACAATGACCAGATGACCAGTTCTACATAAAAATAGAACTCTGACCCACAATCTGCAGCAACCAGCCAAGGAAACCAAAACATTATCTATAGTAAGTAGACCAGGAAGCTAGTCTACTATCTGTAACTCAGAAAGTCAGACCATTATCTCTAACAACTGGTCCAGAAAGCCAGACAACAGCTCCTATACCAAGTGGTCCCAAATGACCAGATTTTGAGTAAAACCCGATAGCTACCTTAATTTTTGTTTCCCACATAGGATCAATCAGGGAAAGCCAGATATGACCCTTAATCAATCATATAGGACACAGCACTCCTAGTTAACCCACCTCCAGCTTTTTTATGCCAACAGCCTCCAATCAGGGTACACTTGAAGTCTTCCTTTTTTTCCACTAGAAAACTTTTCCACTCCTCTGTTTGCCTTGGAGTCTCTGCACAAGTCAGAGTGACGGTGGCTGACTTCATTGAAGTTCTGGATAAACATACTTTGCTTATTTTCATCTGACTGGTCTTAATTTATTTCTATACATCAAAAAATAAATGTCTAATGAATTTATAATTGCATATGCTGCATCACCTACTATATTAAACAAGGAAGATTTTATTTTAACTGAGCATTGATGAGAACCCAATCTTCTGTCTGTATAAACTTTGGGTCCCGTTTATCCTAAATCTTGTTTTAATTCCACGGCCCATTTACTTCTGTGGTGGGAATTACAGACCACTTTCATATCATGTGTTATGAAGTCTGGCCCATAGATCCCCACACTGGGTACTGTGTACAGCAGAAGAAATAATTCCTAGTTCAGCAGAGTAAACAGTAACTTAACTCTGCATTGAAGTACAGGGATACTCATCATTACATCCCACAAATCCCAAACTAACTATATCCCCAACTCAAATTCTCTGCAGCCATAATGAAGGAGGCTATAGGGAAAATGTCCTGTAATGGGAGCAGATTTCTGTTAGAGCAGGAAAGTGATGGGAATGTTCAGGATGATATGGAGGATCTTCCTGATGGACCATTTGTTTTAGAGGGCATAGAGGATTGAGAATGGGGTCAGAGTTGGGACATGCAGAGTCTGAGGGATAACTAGGGAGTCTTCATCTTTCTTTGGTGATTTTCATATAAGGATAGTCCAGGTAAGGGATCATTCTAGTTGCTTCCATATCATCCTGTACTAATAACGTTAATAGATCAATTTATAAGGCACTTTTCTAGATAACATTGTTACTAGCCTATTTTACAGATGAGGAAACTCAAGCACATAGCACTTAAGTAATACTCGCAAGTGCCATAGGCAGTAAGTAAGCAACATATCTCCAAAGTCTACACGTTTATTTGCCCGAGGCCCTGATGTTTTGTTGGAATCTCCTGGTTTTGTCTCCATTCTTTATTTGTACTAGTTTTCTATTGTTGCTGTTACAAATTACCACAAACTTAGTGGCTTAGAACAACACAAATTTGTCTTGCAGTTCTGGAGGTTCAAAGTCTGAAATGGGTCTTACTGGGCTAAAACCAAGGTGTCGGCAGAACTGTGTTCCTATCTGAAGGTTCTAGGAGAGAATCTATTTTATTACCTTTTCTAGAGGCTGCCTGCATTCCTTGCTTGTGGCCTCTCCCACCTTCAAGGTCAGAAATGCCTAGTCAAGTCTTTTCACATCAATCATTCTGACAGTCTATCTTCCACATTTAGGGACCCTTGTGATTACATTAATGTGGATCTTGCTGAAAGGATGCCTTTCGTGAGAACTGGTGCCTAGCTGAATTCCATCCCTTTCCCTCCATTAGAAGGTGATATTTATTGACAAAAGCCCAGCAAAGGTGGCTTCCATGAAAGTGATTGGAAATTTGATCAGGATTCCATCTAGTTGGGAGACCCAGAGCTGGAACCTGACCCATTTGTGGAGTTATTTCTAGAGAATGTATTGTAAGCCCTGAGAAAGTAAATGAGGTAATCACTATAACATCAGTGATGTTCTGGTGTTAAGGCTGTCAAACGGATAGCACTTATGAAAACAGAGTCCCATGATCTTCCAGGAGCAATTAGGGGACAGACCCACTGTATTTGCCTAGCAGTCCTTGAAACTGCCCATCTTCCCTGTGTGCTTTCACATAAACACCAGATGTGTGTTTGGTCTATGTCTGGAGGCTCTGTGTTTTCCTCCCATGCTTTAACATGCTTTGATGTTTATACCTGGTGAACATGAAGTAAAGACTGTGTGCAGTTTTCTGTTGGTGGCTGTTTGGCTCGCAGAGGCAGCCCTGCACGTCCACTCAGTCTAGTGTCTGAGAACTTTTCCTTCAGTGTGTGTTTACAAGTGACACCAGAACAGGGTCCAGCAGATCCAACTGGATCGTCTCTCAGGCCCAAAAAAGGAAAAAGGATGTCTGCTCATTCAGGTGGGAACTACTGGTGCTCGATGCTCACAACCAGACGAGAAAAATATCCCTCATCTTCTCTAGTCCAATCAGGTGTGTGGAGCCCCTCATCTTCTGGTTTCTTTTACTTTTGTTTTCATGTCTGCTTGTCATGGGAGTTTCACTATCTAAACAGCAGAATGTACATACGGAGCAATATGCTTTTGCACTCATCAGGATGTAAAGCCCCAGACAAAGATTTAACCAAATTGCTTTCCATAATTTATCAGCAATGCCCACGGTACCCAGCTGAGGAGTCCCTTGAAATGGCCAATTGGGAGCGTATAGGGCGCTGCTTAAAAAATGCTCTTGGCTCAATAAAGGTCTCTCATTTACACACATGGAACTTAGGCCACATGTTATTCATGCTTTACCAGGAAAACCTGATTAAAATAGTTGTCAAGACTTGAAAAAAATGAAAAGAAAAAGACAAAAAGAATTCTGCCTCTGCTCAGCTACCTGAGCTAACAAGAGATCTCTTTCTCTGTCCTCTGGGCTTCTTTCCATCTCCAGCTTTCTTGGTGGCATCTCGCCTCTTCTGCTTTTCTTCCTCTCCTCCTACTTCTACACCACCTGGGGGTACAACCTACATAACTGACTTGTACACCTTCTGGGTGCCCCTGGCACCGTGGGCTTCTCCTCCAGCTCTCACTGTCAAAGAGCAAAGAGCACACCCTTAGACTTTGATGGCCCACTTCGTGTTTCCTCACTAATGCCCCAAATAAAAATTGGCAATGGTAAACAATTTGCTTAACCTTCTAAGTGGATCCAAATGGAACATATTTGGTATGTAAAATAATTTAAATTTATTGATTTAATTAAAATAGACCCATCTTTAAAATTATCAACATTAAATGTAAAACTTTTTCTACCTAGGTTTACTAAAGATCAAATAAACACATACACATCTCTATTACGATTTGTTAACAAAATGATGACTTAAAATAATGGCTACTTCTATCTCAAAGTAGCCCAAAGTCCGGGTTCATAGGTAGTTGTTAAGGTAGCTTTCAAGGTCTTTGGTGTAACCTAAAACTTTAAAGTTTTGTCTGGGTAATAAATTAAAATTAAATTCATTGGACATTTAAGCCTTTCCCAAATCAGATAGAATGCTGAAACATTAATTATTAAACATAGGTTTATGTTTTTGACATTACAGAGAAACTAAAAATACTTGGGTCTATTGGAAAAGCTGCTTTATACTTAATTGATTTTAAAAAAGAATTCTAATGTAACAGTTCACAATTGGTTACTACTTAGTTTTCACTAGAGACTAAGGTTTCTAAGACTTAAAATTCTATTAAATATAATTAAGACTGATGAAAATAAGGAAAGGAACTCTGTATGTAGAAAAGGAGATATATAAAAAAGACATAAAGAATGGGAATACATTTTTGTTAAAGGTAAAGGAAAGTAATTTTGTCCAAACTGAGACTGGTTGTTTGGAACAAAATGGCTTGGGACAAAATCTAAATGCAAAGGAAAATTGTAGAAGGTTCATGAAGGGAAATCTTTGGAAGAAAAATTTAAGTATGGTTAGGATAGACTAAGGTTAAAATAAATAGATTTTATTTATTTATTAAACTTTTTTTAATGCTTATTTATTTTTGAGAGAGAGAGAAAGACAGAGCAAGGTGATGGGAGGGTCAGAGAGAGAGGGAGACACAGAATCTGAAGCAGGCTCCAGGCTCTGAGCTGTCAGCACAGAGCCCAACGTGGGGCTTGAATCACAAACCGTGAGATCATGACCTGAGCTGAAGTCGAAAGCTCAACCGACTGAGCCACCCAGGTGCCCCTAAAATAGGTGGATTTTAAAAAATACACTGATACAAAATTAAAATTATACTTTTCTTTGTGTTCAAAAGACAGTTTTCTTGGATTGTGGATCTGCTCTTGGAAAAAACAAAGTAAACAAGTCTTTTCTCTTTTATCTGCCAAAAAAGCCAAAGCTTTATTTTCTGTCTTTATTAGGTCTCTAATTACTTAGTCAAAACTTCTCAATGTTAAAGGAGCTAGGTTTTGCCAACAACTATATAAACCTACATATTTGCCTTAAAAAATAACTAACATTTATAATGACTTGTAATCCTATTTAGGATATGCTTTATAACTTTCTGCGGTTTTAACAAACTTCCCAAGATTCAAATTTTAAATAAAATCTTTTTAACCAAATGGGCCTTTTCATTTGATATGTTACTTAAAAAGCCGTATCCAACAAATACCAATAAACCTTAGGTTGTATTATTTAGCTGAATACTATAACTACTCAAACGTATATATAAAATTCCTAGGTGCACCTGGGTGGCTCAGTTGGTTAAACGTCCGGCTTCAACTCAGGTCACGATCTCACGGTTTGTGGGTTTGAGCCTCGCATCAGGCTCTGTGCTGACAGCCAGCTCAGAGCCTGGAGCCTGTTTCGGATTCTGTGTCTCCCTCTCTCTCTGACCCTCCCCTGCTAATACTGTCTCTCTTTCTCTTTCAGAAATAAATAAAAAAACATTAAAAATAAAATAAAATAAAATTCCTAATATTTTAATGTTTTGGTATAAGGTCATCACTTGATATTCTATTTATCAAAATGTTATATGTCACAAAAATAACCCAATTTCCTTATAAACTGCATTATACTGAACTCTCAAATTATTAACCACGTCCATTTTAAAATCTTTTGTTATTTATAATTATTGTTCTAATACTTTTACAAAATATGTTTCATATATAAAGGGATTCATTAAAAAAACTTTTAGAACAAATACAGGAATTTAACATCTTTAAGATCATAAAACAAATGGGTAAAAATTTCCAAAATTAAAAAATATATTTAAACCAAACAAAAATTAATAACATAAAACTATGTAAACAGAGAAAAATTTTTATCAACTATCCAAGAACTTTTTTTGGGCTTCTTTTTCTTTTCGTTTTTCTAATCATGTTTAGTTATTTTCGCCTATGTGTCTCCACCTAATGCCAATGCTCCTTCATTGCTACAACTTCAAGCCATCATTAAATATATTTAAAGCTACTCTCACTAAAAAGAAAGAGGGAAAATGCCTCCCTTAGGACAAGATTAATGAGAGTCCTATTGACATTAAATCATTTACCATCAGACAGAAACTTTCATTCTGCAATGTTCAAACATTTTCAAATGGAACATGAACTCCTGAAACCCAAGGTATGGTATAGATTGCCCAATGAGGAGTCAACCTGAAAGGGTTGTTAGAAGAGAATTGTTAACCTGGGGGGAGAGGTTTTGCTGCTGTGCTTTTTCCTCAAGGTCCTGTGTGGGTACATGCTTGGTTAATAAAACCACATCATGAGCTGGCAGGAGGGACTCAAGAATCCAATACCAAACTTCAAACTTGATGGCGGTGGCCCCTCTCAGCAGAATGTCAAATCCAAAGAAGAGGAAGATTGATCACTCAGCCAACCAAGACATCTCCTGGGGTGATGTTAAAAAATTAACCTCACAGGCTAAGGAGGTTTTAATTAACACAGGCATGTCTGTGATCCCTAAAAATATGTGTCTATTGCCTTATTGCTGACTCAACTAAGGTAATACTCCTACTAATGTGTCTGCTTTCTTTACCTTTTGCTTCTATTCACCTACACTCTACTTTTACCTACGAGGCTCATCTTCTTAGCCCTCCTATGTTTGACCTACTCTCCTTGGAAGATCCTGAAATTCCTATTTCATCTAATGACTCCTCTGTTAACAGAGAATGCTGGGTTCCCATTAACACTGATGAATTGTCTAACTATCCGTCACATAGACTCTCAATAAATTGGACTTTTTCTCACTTAGACATCTGTCTATGTTTCTATTATAATCCTAATACTCACAATACCACTCACAATACTAACCAAAGCCTCTGTGTTCCTCTTCACAGACAATGGGGTATAAACAACATACTTAAAGCACCAGAAGATGGATCTTGGGTAAGTACTATCAAATATTAACATTTTCTTCTCACAACAAAAATAGAAGAAAGCCTAACTGAGAAAAAATGAATACCAAAACCTTCAATGCCAAGTATGTACCAGACCCTGGCTGGAGATGCGATCCTATGGTGGCTTCTCATGGGACCTCTGCCATTCTTGTAATTTTACCCAAATATCCCTATTTAACAATACAATCCTTAAAAATTGGGGACCCATAAAACTTATGGTGATAGAAAGTAATAGATCCTGGGAAGGATGTATCTGGACTTGTCACTTCCTTTCCATTACGATATTTCTAACCCCATGTGAAAATCAGGATTTGCAAGTCCAATACTTAGACTCAATTACTCCAGTACCTGGCCCATCTCAGGCTTAGCTTCTCTCTGAAACTACTAGTAAGGGGAAAAGAAAGGAGCCCAGGAAAAGTATTGAGCTGGGAAAGAGGTGCAAGGAGAAGGATAATCCCTTTTTCCTACTGGAGACTTCCATTTGGAAGCAGGAATGAGCTTAGTGGGGAGATAACCCAATGTCATTCCAACTGACAATAAAAGTCAGAGTTTGACAATCACATGGGACTAGACATTTTAATTTCTGTATTTGATACTATCTTTGGCTAAAAGCAACAGAGGACTATCTGTGAGTAACCAGAAATTTCATCCTATGCAAGTCTTCTTCCAGGCCTGGAGACTATTATTCCTCACTGAAGAAAGCTTAGAGGATCAGAGGAAGACAAACATAAGTTTCATTTTATTTCCACATGTCTATAATGCTTGCTCAATGTACAAATTATGCATTTTTAATAAAATAACCACAATTTGACTCCTTCATATCTCCCTCCAACTGCAATAGCTGCAGCCTGACACTGAGTGAGCCCAGTGGCCTTAGCTGCTAATGGAACAGCAGCAGCAGACCCCTTAGGAGACACAAGATCTATGGCATTGCCATGGTGACCTACAGATGTGGCCAATATGTACTCCTCCATCATAGGCTGACCTTGGCAAAGCGGCCAGAGATATTTTCAACAAAGGATTTGGTTTTGGGTTGGTGAAACTGGATGTGAAAACAAAGTCATGCAGTGGTATGGAATTCTCAACATCTAAGACAAACACTAGGAAAGTTACTGGAACCGTAGAGACCAAATATAAATGGTGTGGATATGGTCTGACTTTCACAGAAACGCAGAACATTGGCAACATCCTGGGAATAGAAATACAATTGAAGACTGGATTTATCAAGGTTTGAAACTAACATTTGATATTACATTTTCAAAAAATAGGGTAAGAATAGTGGTAAAATCAAGACTTCTTATAGGAGGGAATGTGTAAACCTTGGTTGTGATGTTGACTTTGATTTTGCTGGACATGCAATCCATGGTTCACCTGTCTTTGGTTATGGGAGCTGGCTTGCTGGGTACCAGATGACCTTGGACAGTGCCGAATCACAGCTGACAAAGATTAACTTTGCAGTGGGCTGCAGAACTTGGGATTTCCATCTACACACTAATGTCACTGGTAGGACAGAATTTGGAAGATCAATTTATCAGAAAGTATGTGAAGATCTTGACACTTTAGTAAATCTTGCTTGGATGTGAGGTACTGACTACTATCACTTTGACATTGCATGAAACTATCAATTGGATCTCACTGTTTCTATCTCTACAAAAGTCAACAATTCTAGTCTAAATGCAATGGACTACACTCAGACTCTGAGGCTAGTCTATTCTGGTAGATGGCAAGAGCATTCATGCTGGAGGCCACAAACTTGGCCTTGCCCTGGAAATGGAGGCTTAGCAAAGCTGAAAGAAATCTCTGGGAATGGATATCAGAAGATTTGGCCTTAATACACTTCCAAATTGATGAACAGGCTTTTTTCCTCCCAACAAGGTGATCAAAACAAAGTATGATCTAAACAAGAGCTGTATTTTAAATATTTAGACAGTTGTTGGGTTCTAGTTGAATTGGTTACCTATCTAGTTACCAATGCTGTAGTCATGCAGTCACCTATGCACTATTTAAATGTACAGCAAAACCTTGGCTTGCAAGTAACTTGTCCTGTGAGTGTTCTGCAAGATGAGCAAACCTTTCTAATAAATTTTAACTTGACAAATGAGCGATATCTTGCAATAAGAGTGATATGTGATGCTGAATGTCATATGATCACGGTGAACCAATGGTTTCTCTCTCCCCCCTCCCTTTCTCTGTGAGACTGTGGGTGATTGGCTCCCATGCTTGGAGGCTTGGTCTCAGGCCACTGTGTTTGGCAGAAATCAGTGATTTTTCAGAACATTGGAAGTGCCTACAACTGGCACTAGTGTGTTTTTTTTGTCACTTCAAGTCACCTATGGACAGTCCTTTGCTTTCTCATGCAAGAATAAGCATAGGAATGCTTTGCTTCATTCTAGATGATTGGATAGGCTCCTTGTTAAAATTGCACAAAAAGATTCCATTGAGCCAATAGATAGCCATGATTCTGTTAGTGACAATGCAAGTCATCCTACACAATAACCCTCCTCTCTCGTATCCTTCACACCGGTCATGAAGGTTTTCAAAGGTAATTGCAGATTATTTTTCTTCATATTTTATATTTTCTTAATTATTTTGTATTATATTACAGTATTGTGATCACTTTTATATGAATATTTTTGAGTTTTGAACAAATCATCTGAGTTTCCATTGTTTCTTTTTTTTTTTTAATATAATTTACTGTCAAGTTAGCTCACATACAGTATTCTCTTGGCTTTGGGAATAGATTTCCATGGTTCACCACTTACATACAACACCCAGTGCTCAACCCAACAAGTGCCCTCAATGATCACCACCCATTTTCCCATCCCCCCACCCCCTTTCAAACCTCAGTTTGTTTTAAGAGTCTCTTATGGTTTGCCTCCCTCTCTGTTTGAAACTATTTATTTTTCCCTTCCCTTCCACCATGGTCTTCTGTTAAGTTTCTCAAATTCTACATATGAGTGAAAACATGTGATATCTGTCTTTCTTTGACTGAATTACTTCACTTAGCATAATACCCTTCAGTTCCATCCATGTTGTTGCAGAGTCAAAATTTCACTCTTTCTCATTGCCAAGTAGTATTCTATTATACATGTATGTCTATATTTAGATATGTATAGATATAGATACACACACACACACACACACACACACACACACACATACACACATATAGTTCTACATGAGGAGCCTCCATAACTGTTTTCCAGAGCGGGTGCACCAGTTTTCATGCCCACCGACAGTCCAGGAGGATTCCCATTTCTCCACACCCTTGCTAACATCTGTTGTTTCCTGAGTTGTTAATTTTAGCCACTCTGACCAGTGTGAGGTGGTATTTCAGTGTGGTTTTGATTTGTATTTCCCTTGGTGATGAGTGATGTTGAGAATCTTTTCATGTGTCTGTGGGCCATCTGGATGTCTTCTTTGGAAAAGTGTCTATTCATGTCTTCTGCCCATTTCTTCATTGGATTATTTGTTTTTCAGGTGTTGAGTTTGGCAAATTCTTTATAGATTTTGGATACTAACCTTTTATCCAATATGTCATTAGCAAGTATCTTCTCCCGTTCTGTTAGTTGCCTTTTAGTTTTGTCAATTGCTTCCTTTGCAGTGCTGAAGCTTCTTATCTTGATGAGGTCCCAATAGTTCATTTTTGCTTTTATTTCCCTTGCCCTTGGAGTCATGCCAAGTAAAAAGTTGCTGCAGCTGAGGTCAAAGAAGTTGTTGCCTGTTTTCTCCTCTAGGATTTGGATAATCTCCTGTCTCACATTTAGATCTTTCATCCATTTTTAGTTTATTTTTGTATATGGTACAAGAAATTGGTCCAGTTTCATTCTTCTGCATGTTGCTGTCCAGTCCTCCCAGCACCACATGCTGAAGAGATTGTCTTTTTTCCATTGGATATTCTTTCCTGCTTTGTCAAAGATTACTTGGCCATACATTTCTGGGTCCACTTCTGGGTCCTTTATTCTGTTCCATTGATCTGAGTCTTCGTTTTTGTGCCAGTACCATACTGTCTTGATGATTTTACCTTTGTAGTAGAGGGTAAAGCCCGGGATTGTGATTTTCTTCCATTTTTCTTTTCCTTTGGTTTTATTTTTTTAACATTACTTTGGCTATCTGGGGTCTTTTGTGGTTCTGGACGTATTTTAGGATTGCTTGTTCTAGCTCTGAGAAGAATGCCAATGCAATTTGGATTGGGATTGCACTGAATGTGTAGATTGCTTTGGGTACTATTGACATTTTAACAATATTTGTTCTTCCAATCCATAAGCATGGAATGCTTTTCCATTTCTTTGTGTTTTCTCCAATTTTTTCCCCATAGGTTTCTATAGTTTTCAGCATACAGATCATTTATCTCTTAGGTTAGGTTTATTACTAGGTATTTTATGGTCCTTAGTGCAATTTTAAATGGAACTGAGTCTTTGATTTGTCTTTTTGTTGCTTCATTATTGGTGTATAGAGATGCAACTGATTTCTGTACATTGATTTTATATCCTGAAACTTTGCTGAATTCACACATCAGTTCTAGTAGGTTTTGGTGGTGTCTTTTGGGTTTTCTATGTAGAGTATCATGTCATCTATGAAAAGTGAAAATTTGACTTCTTCACCAATTTGGATGCCTTTTATTTCACTTTGTTTTCTGATTACTGAAGCTAGGACTCCAGTACTATGTTGAACAAAAGTAGTGAATGAACATCCCTGTCATGCTCCTGACCTTAGGGGGAAAGCTCTCAGTTTTCCCCCATTGATGATGATATTAGCTGTGGGCCTTTCATCTATGGCTTTTATAATGTTAAAGTATATTCTTTCTATCCCAACTTTCTTGAGGGTTTTTATTAAGAAAGATACTGTATTTTGTCAAATGCTTTTCCTGCATCTATTGAGAGGATCATATGGTTCTTATCTTTTCTTCTATTAATATGATGTATCACATTGATTGATTTGCAAATATTGAACCAGCCCTGGAGCCAGAAATAAATCCAACTTGGTTGTGGTGAATAATTCCTTTAATGTATTGTTGGATCCAGTTGTCAAGTACCTTGTTGAGAATTTTTACATCCATCTTCCTCAGGGATATTAGCCTGCAATTCTCCTTTTTAGTGGGGTCTCTGTCTAGTTTGGGAATCAAGGTAATGCTGGCTTCATAGAATGAATCTGGAAGCTTTCCTTCCATTTCTATTTTTTGAAACAGCTTGAGAAGGATAGGTATTAACTCTGCTTTAAATGTCTGGTAGAATTCCCCTGGGAAGTCATCAGGCCCAGGACTCTTGTTTGTTGAGATTTTTTCACAACTGATTCAATTTCTTTGCTGGTTATGGGTCTGTTCAAATTTTCTATCCGAAAGTCGGACGCTTAACCGACTAAGCCACACAGGCGCCCCAATAATTTAGTTTTTAAAAAGATCTGTGTTAATTATAAAATTCTTGAAATTTTTTGTTTTTTTAATTTTTCTTCTAAGGTTTATTCATTTTTGAGAGAGAGAGAGACAGAGCATGAGCTGGGCAGGAACAGAGAGAGAGGGAGACAGAATCTGAAGCAGGATTCCAGGATCTGAGCTGTGGAACAGAGCCCAACATGGGACTTGAACCCACGACAGTGAGATCATGACTTGAGCTGAAGTCAGATGTCAACCAGCTGAGCCACCCAGATGCCCCTAAAATTCCTGAAGTTTTAGTGTTTGGTTCTGAGGGGCCAGCATGAGTCAGCTCTAGCACACATACTTCTATGGCCACATCCTATGATCCAGAAATCCATGACACCCTAGAGAAATGTGTTCATGTGCACATATAGAAATATTC